GATGACTATCCTTGGTCTTTGAACAGTCACCACCCCCCTCCTCATTCCAGCAGTTCCTGGGAACCCACAGGCTGAGCAAACAGAAGTAGTTCTCTTGAAGACCTACCCTTGTGCTGCACTAAAGGCCCCAAAGAGCTCCAGGGGAGCTGGAAAAATGCTAGGAACAACAGCAACAAATCCCCTGGAGTTGACTGAGATAAACAGATTTCAAACATGCTGTAGCTAAGATAAAGTGAATATTTCCCTCCTTGGAGATTTTCAAAAACTGCCTGAACACAATCCTGGTGACCCTGCTCTGGGTGTCCCTCCCGGAGAGGGGCTTGGGCCAGGTCGCCTCCAGAGAGACCCCTGCCAACCTTAACTATTCTGTGATCCTGTGAAACTGATTCCATTGACATATCGTGCGCAGGATAAAAGGGTGCAGAGTCAGGTGCTGGGCTTTTTTCCTGCACTCTCAGTTTTGCTTTATGGTAATAAAAGGTGACTCGTAAGAGTAATCTTTGGCACCATTGGCGACACAACTACAGAATAAAAGTGAGCTTTCCTCTCTCTGCACAAAGCTTCAAAACGCTCACCTGCTTTTTCAACATCCAACCCTTTTCTCTGCCTTAGCTCAAATCAAGACCTAAGTGGCACGATAGCCACTCAAGGAGCGCAGTAGGCCCTGACCTCCATTGTTCATCTGGAACTGGCTGGTTGTGTTACATCCTGCCTTCTCCAGCCCATTTAGAGGCCCTCACCTCCCCTTTTCTCAGCAATTGCTGCCTCTTATGACTGCAGCCAAACAGCACAGAAAATGAAAAACACACATATTCAAAGAGATTGAGCACCTGGCGTCAGAAATGCTTTAACCGCAGTCGCGCCCACAGTAAAAATTATAGTCCTATAAATTACATGTGGAACTATAATATGGTCAAGGTCTTTTTGAAGTTTCTGACCTAGCAAGTTATACATTGTAAAGGTCATCATAAAAGCACTGGAGAAGTTAAAACCTGTATGACCTCAAGAGTTTTCTGATGACTTTTATCAGTGGTATCTCGTAACTCATATGCATAAGAAATCAGCAGTTGCAAAAGGTCTTGCATACGTATCAGGAGAATTGCTTATGGGACAAGGTACACATAGCATGATGCAGCTGCACATTTGATGCCGTGTATGGAAGGAGCACAGTCTGTAGCTGGTAGCATGCAAATACAGAGGAAATGGAGGTTTCTTACTCCCTGGTAAAACTCCTTTCTCCTCACCTCCCCTCCAGAATCATTCCAGACTGAAAGCAGTAGAAGAGATGATTCATACAGCATTTGCAAGATTTGTAAAATCTTATCAATTCTGAAGTCCAATTTGTGCTAATCAGGGCATATCACAAGTGCAAATGTTAACCCAAAGGAGCAGCGAAATGATTGGCACAATAAAATGAAATTTAATCATCTGAAAGTTCACTCGTGGCCACACGAACAGATCACCACCCTCTACAATTCGTCCTACTGCTTACCTCCACTCTTAAACAATCGTAACAAGATGATGTGTTGTGAACCCTAATCCACCACCTTTGGCATAAACTCCTGTGAGAGGTCAGTGTCAGCATGCAACCACACATCTGTTTCCCTTAGGAACTGGGCAGCTGACTGCCATTCTCATAGAAGATCGCAGTCCCCCCTTGAGAGATGTAAGGACAATCATGCTGCCACATCTGCCATTCAGCACAGGGCACAGAGATTCCAGGAAAGTCAGAGATCTGCCTTCGGACTGGTTCTTACTTTCTTCTCTACTGAGGTTTTCCAGCTCCTTTTAAAAACTACCTAAAAACCTGCACAAACAGTGGGGCAGGATGTTGTATAGCTGAATTTCTTAACTTGCAGGCAATATGTTTAGGGGATCCTCATTTCTTTCTCCTTTAACGTCAATCATCAGCATCAAATAAGAAAAGTGAGCATTTCCCAGGAGTGTCAGTGAACTGACGCAATTTCAGCAGCTTTGTACGCAGTATATACAACTCAAAGGAGTAAAGTTCAATTTTAATTGTGCAGCTGATATCGTGAAGTAAACAGGCGTTTTCTTTTAAAGACTTTTAAAACAGATTTTTAATCTTTTGGGACAGCTTAGCGTAAGAGTCAAATTCTACTTTCAGCTATAAATCTATAAATCACTCGTAAATCTAGAGTAACTCAGATAATCTCAATCCAACACCAAACTTGTATTTTCTTCTTCACTGAAACTCTGAGATTGTGCAATGGAGGAAAAGCTCAATGGAATAACTCCAGGCTTTGAACAGGGCTACAGAAACTGCTGCTTTGGCTGTCTGAACTGCCTTTTCTCCTGCAAGCTGGTGATCAGCTGATTAGTTACTATTCAGAATAATCACATCTTTTTTTTCTTTCAGTTGGATGCAGAAAAAGCAACATTCTAAACCCAGCATTTCCAAACCATACACTGAACTCTGGTTCTAAACCAGTAAAACTTCCTAGTTTCTCAGTTTCAGGTTGAAACTTTTCAGCAAAATAGAACCTGAGATTTACAATGTTTATGTTAACAGGTCTTGGACCACACCAGTCATACTGCGTTCCATGTTCAACTTGGAAACGTTTCACAGATGGAGTGAGTCTCTTTTTCATCCATTTTGCATAATAAAACCCTCAGGACAGAAAAAAAAAATGATCTTCTTAAGCTGGCTGGATCACTGATTGCTTGATTCTGAAGAAGCGGTCCTGGTGAGCTGTGCCTGAAAAATAAACCATCTGAGAGACAATTAAAAACTTATCATCAGATCTGAGCAGCCTGCTGGGAATCATCTATTTTAACTTGGCTATTAAGTGCTGAGCACAATTGAGGTTTTCAGTGGACATACAACTAATGAAAAGTCCTGACTGTTTTGTTTTCCTGATTTCATAGGGAAATGAGGTGCAATTGCATTGCCAGTCGCTCTTGTATCAGTTGAATCTGTTGGTCAGTTCCCAGCAAATCTGGCAGAAGAGATGACTTCTCAAAGAAGCTCCCTTGAGCTCCATGAAGAGTTAGGGTAAACAGCAATAGAGATCTCTATAAAAACCTTCTAAAGGCAAAGCTGGCAGACTGGGGTGCACCCACCTTGGCAGCAGCCTGACAGCCCATTGCCACAGGTTACTAACCTGACCGTGAGCATCCACGTCACCCTCACCTAGCACACTCCATGCAGTCAGTTGGGTGGATGTGGTTTCATAATGGAAGGGCTGGAAGGGACAGAAAGGTGTTCAAGGAAAGTCTCAAGTCTACAGGACGTGAGGCTTCACCAGTTCTGCTCGCTGACCTAGTTTTCTTCTTTTTAATGCTATTTATTGGCTTCCAAAAGTTTGATGAAAGACCATCATGAGCAGATATCCATTAAATTAAAAGTGGACGCCCCATAGTGTTTCTTAAAACCAAACACTTTCATGAGTTGATATTCTGGGAAATTACAGGTTATCACTCTGATCCTTTCAGGATTAAACTCCAGGATAGCAAGATAAGAAAACAAATCCAAAGAAAGCACACTTTAAAAAAGATTTAAGGTCTTCCAAAAATTGGCACCTGGCAAGTTCAATGTACTCTTGAATCAGACACTGCAGAACCCTGTGCAACCCTTCTGTGTGAGACTTGTATCTTCATGTGAAACAGTCCCAAATCAGACAGCTACTGTTTGTAATGCTTGAGCCAATTACTTCCAATTTTCCAGCTGGTATATGACATTTCCAACTGTGAATATTCATCATTCTGCAAAAAAAGTCTATTGGAAATGCTTTCACACCTATACTTAGACAATATTTAAATCCTATATGTTTTCTTTACAGTTGGATTAAAAGATGTCCACTCTGTATTTTGCTAGTTACACAGTTGATGTGCCATAACTTTAGTATTTTGATACCACAGCATTGCATTTCTCATTTGCTACTCCTTCAAACAGCTAATTGGCTGTGTTTCTATCATCAAAGAAATGGACAACATTTTTTTTCTAAAATACACGTGTAACTTCTACCAGTACAAAGCACACAAATGTCTGTATGTAGCACTGAGGTAAGCAAGTTATACAAAGCAGCTCTAGCAGCACAGTTTTGAGGGAATGCAACGCTGCTCATGACAGAGAAGCTGTTAATTCTAGCATCTTCTGCACACTGGGTACCACAAACAACAGTAATTAATATCCTTTTTTCAGGGCTTTTGAAAAAAACAATGGCTCGATTTCTAGCATGCTTGGCAGCCATAAAATGGATTGACTTGCAGTTCCAGTGAGTCTGAATGCAAATTTCGAAAACAGAATCCATCACATGTTAAAGAATTTGAAATTTATTTTATTAAAATGCAAAAAGAGAGGAGCAATAAGATCAATAAAACTAGAACTTGGGATGCATTCTGACACAGAATTATGAGAAGCAACAAGGTTCTCTTCCAGTATAATAGATCTTAAGGATGGACCGAAATGATTACTTACTACTCCAATAAACGACACGTCATCCACAGATGAGATGACCATTCTACTCCCTGCATGTGATAAACAGACAACATAACCTGTAGCACTTTGGAAATCCATCATCAACGAAACTCCGCTCCTAGAAATGAAGCCTTTCCCATCTCTACCAGATTGCCCACTTGGACATTTACAACCCAACATATTTTCCTCGGCATTATTGTACCTGGATTGCCTAATTTCATAAAGAAATTTTGTCAGAGAAACTTATGCAGGGAATTTTTCTGTCAAGACAATTACCAATAACTCCCGCAGCACAGAAATACAGGAAAGACATAAGCAGTCGGTGTCACAGAGCTCTTCTATGCTTCATACTCAAGTATTTTAAGATCTTCAAGTAGCTCTTTTGCAAGTGCTTGCAGTTCCGCATTGCGGCTCTTTGACAGTGTAATGATACGTTGAAATGGCAAAGTATCACGCATCTCACAGGCTGACTTGGCTAATACTTCTGGCTCCAGAATCACAGACTGGAGGAGCCTCAGAACGTGAAGGCAAACTTCAGTATCCGGGTCTAGAAGTGGAAGAGGAAAGAATCCAGTGCTTATTAGAAGTGAGCCTCCCCAAAAAAATAGTATGCTGCCATTTCTCACGGCTCAACACACAGGCTGGGAATAACCACAGTGTCATAATCTGCAGATGCCATTTGGTGCTGGCTTGTTGGCTCCAGAAGGAACCTGAAACAACAACTCTGCCCTCTTCAGCAGCATTTATTCAGTTGTGTTTGGGAGGAACAGACAGCCAGAAACCTCTCTTTTATCTTTCAGATGTTGAAAAGGCTACAAATAAGGGAATTTATCAGCTTAAATTTACTCAGTCAGTAACCAAGATATACTGTTGGATGCAATACAGTTTAAGAGCACAACAAGCTCTACCCCATGACTAATTAGACTTAAGAAACAAACAGACCAACTAATCAAATCAGCAGTAAAACACAATGCTTTCCTTTAATTTTTTACATAAGCCTTCAGATTCCTTCAAAGCTCAATACAACATTTATCTTTACAAAACTTTCTTGGCAACAACACATCAACCTTTCAGTTTAAATCAGTCTACATGAAAGCGAAATGGGTATTGAAGATCAGCATTGTTGCATCAGAGAAATTTACCAAGGAAGACCTTTGAGTGGCTTAAGCTAAGAAGACATAACAACTCTACTGTTAGGAAAACAAGATGCATTTTTAATTACTCAAACATTAGGAGCATTATCTTTTCATTGTTCACAACAGTCCGTTTGCTTTTAGTTGCTTATAATTTTAGCAAAAGCATCTCATAGAAAGCACAATTTTTGCAATTCTCTATTCTGCATATTCCAAATGAAAATGTATAATACAGTTTTACAGCTGAAGAAGTTATTTGTTCCATTTGCCATACATCATTTATGTGTTCGTTGTTAATATGCACAATCTTCAGCCAGCCTTCAATAAAGCCATGTGCTGGAATGTGGGGAGAAATAAGTACCTGAAATGACCACAGAGACCAAATTCTCACTGGAGGAGCATAAATGTGGTGCAGCAACAGATCATGTTGTGTTGAGTTGTAAGGAAAAATGTTTGGCGGGCTGAGGCAAATTCTTTTATTTGTTGGCTTATTTAATAGTGACACCTACAACCTGGAAAAGGGGTGAGGAGAATTACCCATTAAAGCATAAGGGGAAATGTAAAAGCATCCAAGGGAGAAAATGGAATAAGGTGGACAGTGAAAATGACTATGGCTTTAAGCATGAAACTGTCTGTTCAGATGGAATTTTTAAGCAATTCCCACTGTCACATCGCCGAAGAACAATATTAAAAATTGTGACATCTGATCTATCCCCACAAGACAGCCAGTCTCTCTTTTTTCCCCCCATTTTCTTTCAATAAATGAGATCTGTATCTATTTTCTACCACATTTTCTTCACTATTTAAAGTGCAAACCTCTTGAGAAAAGAATTCTACTTTCTCCTAGGAAATGCAACTGCCCCAAACCAAACAACAAAATGCATTTTCTGCTATTTTGTGCAAGACTATCCTTAGTCACTGGGCACACTGGATAACTTAAGTCATTTGAGTAAGTATTTAAAAAAAAAACAACAGGGATAATCAGTGCTGCACCACCACAGAAATGGCCATTCTCATAGAACAGCTCCTATTGCTGGTTTCTGGACTGAGGGCCCATGGAATCCCTTTCTATCTTCATGCCTGCCAGCCTTTTTTTTTTTTTTTTTTTTAATTTTTATGTGTTTATTTATGTATTTATTGCCCCCTTTATTTGTACTTAGAATTATTCTGCATTTCTTCACTGGAAATAGCAGCAATAAAACACACCTAAATAGGCTGAAAGAAGCTTTTGGGAGTGAAATCTATGTAGCTCATTACAGCCTTCCTCTGTGTGAGATTATCCCTCCTTGTAATAAAGACATTAATACTTGCAGTGATTTGCTATGCTGCTGGGAAGCTCCATGTATGTAAGATCTGGATAAATAGTGCTTCATTATTAGTGCTGTTACATGCATTTACTTTACTATTATCTGCAAGAGTTTAAAAGCTGTACAAAGTAAAGAATTGATTAAGAACCAAGTGATAACCGGGGGGGTAACAAAGTCAGGACCTGTAGGAGATCAGGAAATGAACCCCAGCTTGACTAGCAACAACATTTTCCAATAAGTGAGGAGGTTCTAGGAAGAATCTTCAACAGCAGCCAGAGAAGCCCAACAGCTTGACTCACTCTAACAAGGAAGGAAATGATTCTGCACCAGAAGATGACATAATATGCATCTAACCTCCAGTTTCCATTGTTGTGCATGTGTTGTGAGTTGCCTTGAATTAAATAAATACATATGCCTCAGAATATACTTCCTTAAAATTACATATGATTTTGAAAATAGTACTTACTACAGATACTCATGTTTTCTAAGAGGATTTTTAAAAATAACCCTAGAAATCTTACCCTTCCCTCTTCAACATCTTTGGAGGTTTTTTTCTAAAACCCCCATCTAGAGAATAGTTACAAGAAATGTGAGGAATCTTCATTATTCAGCACTGTGTACTTCAATAGCTTCCAGATTTAGTCATTTGTACACTAGCTGAGTAACATCTTGTTTGTACAACATCAAAAAAAGAAAAAAAAGAAAAAAAAAGCCTCCACTGCAATCAAATCACTGCATCATATCCTCCCAACAACCAGCACACACATCTCCTGCACTAAAACTTCAAAACTACAGTCATTATTTCTGGGCAATAGGGTAAGAAATCAAGCTGCTTGCCTCAGTCGGGGATCACACGCGGAGCGTGAGCCTACCGCCATCACAAAGCGCTGATGCAATTTTAACAAGGTATTGAAGCTGCTGGAGTTTGCTGACGTTCTGCGAGCTGCCAGCACCACTGTTTGATGTCACTGGCTTTCAGTCACTGACAAAAGCAACTGATAACGTGGACAGACTTTAGTCACATCTGTCATTAGCACCATGCTCTCAGATGAACTGTTCCCTACAGCGGGATTTAAGTAATTGCATTACATCAATGCTAAACAGCTTATCTACAATTGGCTCTGAGCTGCATGAGCTCCATTTACACGTGCCTGTACCATTCCCTGGCCACCTGAGTGTAAGATTTATTACCAGCAAGCAGTTTACAGCTATGCCTATGTACGAGAGCAATATTTCAAAAGCTTCCCATTACTGCTGCTAATGTAATTCAATTCAATCACTGTCTGATTCTAGCACAAAGGGACAACCTCTCCCATTCCTTTTTATGAACCTGTCAAACTGACTACGTTCACAGCGGGTCTAATAGAGAGAGATAGGGTCACAGCTAGTTCCATGTAAGATCTTTCCACAGCGCTAATGCTGGTGGAGCTGAGCCAATATCTGCAGCATGCAGAGTTTTCCGGACACTTTCATAATGCTGATTGGTCCAAGAGCCAAGAGGTATTGCAACATAGACACCATGCGAGGAAGGAGCAGGGAGAACATCATGGCAGTAAAAAGAACAGCTTTGCTGTTGCAATTCCTATGGATGCAAATGCATTTTTGCTCTGCAAAACATCCTCTCCAGCTCCTGCAGAGCAGCTGGATTTGCTTCAGTCTGTTCCCTGGCCAAGCAACTGCTTTCATGGTCATACACGGACTTCAGCTCAGCAGAAATCCCCACTCTCCTACAGATACATGCTTGTCATACTTTTACCAGGGAAATCCTTAGGGAGACTCAAGGAAGGAGACCATAGCAGCCAATGCAGATCCAATTTGCCTGACTGCTACATGTAGGGCTGAGCGTGAAAAGGAACTCACACAGATGCAGTCCTGCAGCAGACAGACTCCTAAGTGACCTGTTAGGTGCATTCCCCAGCTTCAATCAATCCTAATTTGGGCATCTGAGGACTCCCAAAATAGCTACTGATCAACAGGAGACCAAACTAGTGCTTTACAGTGACAGATGCATTCACCAGAGTTAAGGTTCCTTACATATATTCACAAAAGGAAAACCACTGTCAGGATGGAGAACATCAATTTGCACAGCTCTGATGTTAAGAAGGAGGATCTGGTCAAGAAACTCCTCCTCAGATGGTAATGACAGCCTCTCAGGGCTCACCAAGAGCTCTATTTAGAAAAACAGAATCTGCTTCTTAGAGAAGAGCAGGGGAAAAGGGCAAGTATTCAGTGAGACCTCCTCTAGCCGCTTTCGAGCTTTTCAGTCAGCAGTGGTTCAGGGACTTTTTGTGTCAGAGCTGACATCTTTCCATTTAAGAAAATAGATGCGTTCTTTAAGGACAAGTAGGGTAATCCTCTTCTTAAGACAGCAAAAAGAATATGAAACTGCTGAGAGTTGGAAAAACTGGTAACTGAGGTTTCTATTTACCAACCAAAATTTGTTTTAATACAGACACTGATTCATAAATAGCAGAGCTCTGTTTGTCCAGATGTCTTTTAAATAGCACGCTGCCATGCATTTAACCTGAATTTCCAAAATTCTGACAGCTATAACCAATCCAAAACGAAAAGAAAGAAGCTGTCAGGATTAGTCATGAAGAGCAAATACTGAAGGTTGCAGGCAGCAAAATGAGAATGTGCTTCATATAGACATTTATAACAGAGACCGTCATTTGCAAAGAATTTGGATAAACAAGGTTAGATTTCCGTATGGAATTGTGGTGGAGGAAGCTGAAGGGAGAGATCTAAGATTAGTCATATGTCTCTTGTCTTTTGTTTAATGAAGTACCTGGAGCAATTTCCCAGCAAGAATGGGAAATGTCATTGACATAGTCTCTCTGAATTCCACCTCTCTAATACGTCCAACAAGAACAAGAACTGCAATACGTGGAAAAAAAGAAAAAAGAAAAAAAAGGAAAAACAAAATGGATGCATGAGTTAAAAACAAATAAAAAAAAAAAGTGAAGAGCCCAATTTTCTCCAGCCCTCACTTGTTTATACATGCTCTGTATGATTAAAAATGAAAAACAAAACTTAGTCTTTACCAGTAACACTGGAGCTAACTCCAACTTCTTCAAAAGATCCTTTGCAGGGAAAAGTCTCAGTCTACCTCTTTGAAAATGGCAGATTGAAAGTCTTAATGCATCTGCAGAAGTAAAGCACCAGCAAAAAAATGCCGACAAATCTCAAGAGGATTTCCATCTAAAGTTATATAACTTCTCTTTCTACTGCTGAGGACAGAGCTTCCTGAAATCTGAAAGTTACATAAAACCTTTACCCAAGATATCAACACAGGGACAGCAGATGGAGATGGAGAAAACTAAAGCTGCCTATATCCTCCAAGACAGCAACAGCTGCTCTACACACAAATGGTGCTCCACAAGAAGAGAAACCTACTAATTCCACAAGCTGCTTCACAGACAGAAATCTGAGTCATCATCCACATATTTCATGCTCCCACCAGGCTGGGAAGATACAGGTAGGAATAGGTGATAGCTATGCAAGAATACAACAGCTGCATAGCTATGGGACTATTTTCTTCAGTGATCACTCTTGCTTATTAAAGGATGCCCCACCTTTCAGCCAGTACTTAATAAGGGGGGAAAAAAGAGGAAAAGAACAGTCTATGTCATACAGTGCTACATTACAATACAGTTCTGCATTACCTTCAGAAAGTGTGTCAAGCATTTGTTTTTTGCCTGTTTCAGTATAGCCTCCAGCAGAAGGAGCTATTAAGAATTCTTTTTAGTGCATGTGAAGACATTCTGGCTCATCCAAATTTTCTAAAGACAGTAGAACAGACAAAATCCCTTTGTTGTTAACATTCTTTCTCCACTAGGAATCATAACCAGGTTTGCCTCCTTTCTCTTATCATCCATGTGTTCAATGTCAAGGCATATTTCGAAAAAGTCAATCAGGCAGACAATCTGAATCAAACCACTCTTTGCTTTAGATGTAACAAGGAAGAATAAAGAAAATCAAGATATCGTGTGTTTCCTCTCTACTTTACTTAGAATCATAGAATCATAGAATCACCAAGGTTGGAAAAGGCCTTCAACATCATCCAGTCCAACCGTTCACCTATTCCCAATAGCTCCTACTAAACCATGTCCCTCAACACAACATCCAGCCTTTCCTTGAACACCCCCAGGCTCAGTGACTCCACCACCTCCCTGGGCAGTCCATTCCAGTGCCTGACCACCCTTTCTGAAAAGTAATACTTCCTCATGTCCAGCCTGAATCTCCCCTGCTGTAGCTTGAAGCCATTCCCTCTGGTCCTATCACTAATGACACGAGAGAAGAGGCCGACCCCCAGCTCACTACAACCTCCCTTCAGGAAGTTATAGAGAGCAATGAGGTCTCCCCTGAGCCTCCTCTTCTCCAGGCTGAACATTCCCAGCTCCTTCAGCCTCTCCTCATATGGCCTGTGTTCCAGACCCCTCACCAGCTTTGTTGCCCTCCTTTGAACAAATTCCAGGGCCTCAATATCTTTCTTGCAGTGAGGGGCCCAAAACTGGACGCAGTACTCGAGGTGCAGCCCCACTAGTGCTGAGTACAGGGGAAAAATGAGAAGGACATTCTTCCCTGGGGGACAAGAAGATTGGGAAATGACTGAAAATTCTGAGAAAGAACTTGAGGGATTTATCTGTTGTATACAAGCAATTGGCCTGGATGTATAGTCTGAGATCATGGACACTTGTAGATTGGTGACATAAACAAGATGATTCGCTGAAAATTAAAAAAAAGTCAGAGGATGCTTTCAGAAGACTCTCTTAGTGAAAGCACAGATAAAGGCCTAGAGAACTGCGGAAAGCTGAATCATCTCTCAAGCCTTAGCCAAAACAGTCTTTGAAGAAGCTTCCTGTAGGACGACAGCGTATATGAGACACAGACAGCAAACCGTATTGCTCAGTTCTCTTGCATGGAAAAAAAATGTAAGTCTTTATACTGTGGCAACTGCAGATGTTTATAATCTAATCGGGGCCAGCAGAAGGTGAAGATCCTGGCTGCAGAAACAGTAGAGAAGCAAGTGCGTGAGAAAGCTACTGAATTCTGGAGAAGTTCAGAGGTTGATTAAATGTAGAGAAAATGACAGCTATCTCATAGAAAATGACCAGAACAAGACTGCATCTTGGGTCCAACCTCTCATCCAATATACAAACTAGTCAGCCATCTCCCTTGACAGTAAGCAGACTTCCTCTCAAGTGAAAAATCTGAACTAGCAGATGCGGGTTATCTGAGCATCTTCCTCCTTTGCTGTATGGAGAGAAACTTATTATCAACACATAAAGGAATTAGCCATGCCCATCTTTTCCTTCCACAACCCATCCACACACAATTAACAGTATCAAAATGTAAAGTAGCCTTTCAAATTTCCTATTGCCACTAACAGTAGTAAATTATTTCTAATTGTGCCCTATTTTATTCTCTTGCATGACCTGGGAGCCTCCTTCAAACAAAAGACTGCATCAAACAAGATCAGCTTCTTTATCTTATCACAAAATTTAGAAGGGCACACTTGGGAACTCACATTTAGACCAGGTTTTTGAAATTTTGGTTTGTTGTTTTTTGCTTGCTTGTTTGCTTTACTAGAGCAAAGCTCATGTGTATTAGCCAAACACGGAGTAAAGGAAAATCTGAACTAGCATATGTTCAACTTCTACATACAGCAGAACAAAGGACGATATACACAGGGTACTCTCTGAGAACATAATTTTTCTCAACTGACATTAAAAAGCTGTAAAAACAGACAGGTGTTTTTCAACAGCGTTACAAGGATTACTTCATTTTCTGAGATTGCAGAAGAGTCTATGGCAGTGCAAAGCTGTAAGTTCCTTAGTGAAAAGGACGGCTACCTTAAAATACTTGAGAGAACTGTGGAAAAAACAACTTCCAGTTTACAAGCCCAAGTCAAAGCTTTTCAAAAACTTCAACATGAATTTAGTTCTTTGAAAAAGCAGATGCAACCTCTGTCACTTCAGCTACCTTTTCTATTTAATTCTCATGTTACAGCAGGGTTTTACACAGCAATGCAGAGTGCCAAGATGACTAACCTCCCTGATACTAACAAATGAGCACCAAAAATATTCTCATGGACAAGCCACAATAACCTCAGAAACCCAAGACAGAGCAAACTCTAGTTGCAGTTCACATGCAGGACAGTGTCATGGCTCTGTAGTTATTGCAGCCCTTACTGTCTCTTACATGCTGTGCACACAGCTGCCAGCCAAGTTCCAACGCATGCCAGCAACGTCAATCTCAGCTGGCTCTTATACAGGGATTTGAGGCCTCTGAAAGAACGTTTCTCCCAAATGTCTCAGGACACAGTTACATTTTCCCTTGTTGTATTTCAGTGATCTTAGTTTCACTCGGGTTTTAAAGTTGGTATACGAAAATACAGGTGACTTTTCTGATGCACTTCACAACATCTCACCATTCTTTATTTTTAATATTGGCCATAAATTTTATATTAATGGAGTATTACATACAGTATCAGAAGTGTTGTGGGAAATGCACACCTCCTCCCCGTGTGTCTTTGTCGTTAACTTTTAATCTGACAAAAGCTTTCCACAGTCAGGTTTCTATTTTGTACCTGCCATATTCCCACAATCTACAATCCCTGAAGCCACAATTTACAAGGCTCTTAGAGCAACTTACCATTCAAGAGCCACCAAAGCAAAGGAATAAAACCTGGACTTTCACTGATGTACTTCAAGCCTTTCAAGTTGATACTCACGTTGTAAAGTGACATTAGCATTAGCCTAAAATTGAAAGGAAAAAGAAGTGATTTATTTTCATTTCTTTGCATCTTTTGTTATCTCTTTCTATTTATGCCCATCATATATTGATGCTGAAGTGTCACCTCATCATTTATACCTTGAGGACAGAAACAAGTTTCAAATGCTACAAAACAATGTAGCTACAGTAGGATTACATATTTCACTCCGGTAGAAAAACATGCCACCTAAAAGGCTCATCAAACATACATGAAACATACAAAAGCAGGATTTGGCTTTACATGCCCATACAATCTACACAACAGGTTCACAGTGATAATCTGTGCTGGGCGCAAGAAGATTTCAGAGCTGCTTGCTCTGACAAGTAAAAGGGCCAACAGGAAACACAAAAAAGAAAGGCTGTAGGCTAAATACTAGAAAACGTCAAAGGATGTGCTCCACTGGTTGTGCAATGCAGGCCTTATGTACACCAATCCTATGGTCAGCTGAAACAGACACACAGCTTAGGCCATTCTCTTTGAAGTATTATCTTATTTCTACAGCAGATGAGAACACATGTAATACATAGCTAATGCACAGCGAGAACCAATGCATTCTCTCTCCTCTTACAGGGAAGTGACTACACCTACCGAAGCACTTAGAAGAAGGGAGCAGGCTCTAAGTATAAAAAAACGAAGCATGGGTAGTCACAATTCAGCTTAGCACGCTTCTTCCTATGCTGGACTGCTGCTTTCTGCCACAGGTGGTAGGCAGCGTGACCACAGAATCACAAATATAGAATCACAGAATGGCTTGGGTTGGAAAAGACCTCAAAGATCATCCAGCCCCCCTGCTGTACACAGGGTTACCAACCACTAGATCAGGTAGCCCAAGGCCTCATCCAACCGGATGCTGCTGGCCTGTAAATGGAGACCCTGCTGTGAAAAAACAAGACTGCTCATCTCTTAAAATGTCATCGCAGGCTTTTCTATTCATTCTGCCTTCAGGAATCCTGATTGATTAGTCTCAATTCACAAGTGGAAAGACATCTGGCCTTTTTTTGGTTTGTTTTAAGACAACAGCACCAGACTTCAATTTGGCCATAAGTATGCTTTTAGCACAAATCAACACAGGATTTGGCACAGGCCAAATGCTACTCTCACCCACACCTCTTCAAAACTTGTTTCCAAATGACATTTGGGCAACCTCAAAGCCTTAGAAAAAAGACAATTTTCTTAGAAGGTGATTTCTTTTTGTTTTTTATTACGGTCATTCAGGTTGACAAAGGACAGAACCCATATGCTGTCTTCTAGGTTAACAAAGACCGCCTACAGTCTTGCAGCTACAAAGAATTTACTTAATTGAGAATTGAAAAAAAATCTAACGTGACACCTCTGACAAACTGAAGCCAAGACTGCTGCTCTTTACAGTCACACTGCACTTCAGCGTGTGAACCACACAATAAAAACACAACTCGTTCATTTCAGCTACATTTTCAAAAGCTCCCCAAAACTGTTTTTCCTAATTTATCAGCCCCCTAAATAAGGAGGTGCATTAGTCCTCTTTTGGGACTGCGTAGAAAACAAGTTACATATTAAACCACTCTCAGTGTTTCTACAAGGAGAAAATGAGATTTGTTGGAGAAGTCTTGGTATTTGAACAGGATGACTCCAGCCTGCTGATCCCACCAGTTTCTCTCAAGATGGCTTCCAATTAAGTTACTGCAAACATGAGAACCTTCAGTATGAACAGGAACTTGAAAAAATCTGAAAACCATCAGGAAAGGGGGGGGCTGACTACCAAGTACCAAGCGCATCAGCCTCAGCTACGTCAGTGCTGGTGTGATGCTGTAAGACATAGGATGCTACACAGAGAAATGGCATCTTTGCCAGTTTGTGCAGACAAAGTGCCTAGGCCAAAATGCAGTTTTAGCTGCTTCAGATTGTTGGACAAATGTGGCACCCTGAGGCTCCAAACACATCTCCACTTTTCAGCACTAGCAACTACTAACACTAAATGCAAAGGATTTTCTTGACACTAAACCTTCTCCTGCAGCTTCTGCTGAGCTAGTTCTGCTTTCAAACGTTTGATGCAGATAATATCACACTGCCTTCCATATTTCTGATGAGAGTTTTTGTGCAAATTTTGTGTAAAATTTTCTTTTTCAGCTAGGTAGTGTCAGTGAGCTTACCTCAGAATTATTTCCATTTTCTTCTAACTGTCAGCAGGAACCTTTCTACTTAATGGTAGAAAGCATACAGGAAAAAAAAAAAAAAAAAAAGCCATGGATGTTAACAAGGCAAACCAATCCTAAAACTGTAGTATGGTTTGGGTTGGAACTTCCTACCCACCTGCCACAGACAGGGACACTGTGCACTGGATTGGGCTGCCCAGGGCCCCATCCAACCATGCAGCCTCCAGGGATGGGGCACCACAGCTTCTCTGGGCAGCTGTGCCAGCACCTCACTGCCCTCTCAGTGAAGAATAACACTCAACCACTACAAACTTCCAGCCAAGATGACCCCGATGCACCTGAAAAGTTCTGGAGTCAGAAGTTGTCATATATCCTTTCCCCCTTCCAGCGATGTTCTCCTACCCTGCCTTTTATGCAGAATATCTTAAAAGCTGTGCAGTGGTTAGAATGACAGGATTAGTGTACTTTAAAAAAGCTACGGTTGATGCTATGAATTCCTATTTATTTTTCAAAGATGACAACATGTAAGTCAGTGCTCTGGACAACGAAAAGGGAAGATGAAAGAATGCAGCTCCTGTAACATTGACAGAGCACATCATGATACTCAGAACATAGCACTAGGTCTCATACAAACAACTATACAGAAACAGGAGCAGGTTGGAATTCTCTGCCCTGTTCTGGGATTGGCTTGGCTGCTGCTATCTCTCACGACTGTGATAAAGCTGCCTGTTATCCTACTGGCACCATTTCCAAACAAGAGGGAAATAACATTACTCCTAACAGTCTTCACACCTCACATCTCACTCTTAAGTGAACACGGCTTAAGTTAATCTGCCATCAGCAAGATTTCCAGCAGTCTCCATGCATATCTTCATATAGCAGGAAAGGAAAGCAACACAACTCAGTTCAGTCTGCAACAAAAGATAAGCTACATTAACTGCTGCACTGCTACGAGTTTGATCATTCAGGCTCTTAAGTAGTTAGAAACAAGAGCAATAGATTATTAAATCTACTGCATCAGTGGCCATCAGTAAGCAGTGAGAGGTGCTGTGGAATTGAATTTGCAGCCATAAAGCCCACACGCTCCTTTTTATATGGCTCCTGCAGCTCTTAATGCAATCCAGAATCCAAGCCCTGACAAAGCAGCACAGCTGTAATTACATCTAATCAGCCAGAATTAAAATGATCAAAAAACAATACCTCACAATGGAAAGTGCTAATATTTCTTGACAATTTCTTTCATCATTAATCTGTTTGACATTTACAGTTAGAAATAAAGTGACGTAAAGAGATACCGCTATGTTTGTATTCTTCTTTTACTTGTTTGCTATGTGCAGACAAAAGAGACTTGAGTTGTGCTGGTGACCCAGTAAAGTGCTGTGGTTTGCAGGGTCATAACAGGACTCAGCCCATCCCACTAACCAGCACTAAGGGCCTCATCCTACAGTAGCATATTATTACTAATTAAACACACATGTGTACAATACAAACTTTTCCAGGCCCTTCATACCAGTTTATATCACCAGTACTTGCACATGCTAGTAAGTACTTTTTGTAATTCCTATTTTTATGAAGGAAATCTGACACACAGCATGACTTCATAGACAGTATTTTCTGCTTTCTGCCAGTGTGGAGAGTTCTTTAGTTATGCGCCTCACAGTCTTCATATTTAGGCAATTCCAAAATAATTAACATTGTTTACTACTGTATCTGTCACTGCTTTAAAATCTACAGCTAAAACCACTGTGAAGGCCCTTTTCCTTAATAGATGGGATTAGTACATAAAGTGAAATATTCCTAGTGGCTGCTTCCAAGTGCTACACGAGCAAAGCTGAAGATTCCTATCAATTTAATTACAGACATAAACAATTGTGTAAATGCTTACTGACCACCTAATAATTATTAGTGTTGATCAAAGCCTACAGCAACGCCATGTAAAATCTTTTACACCATGATTTCAGAAAGGCAAAATAACGTCATGAGATTTCAGTCCTAGCACCCACATAGAAGCTTTAGCTATATGGATAGTGTAGCATTGTGAGAATAATTGGAAACTTTTCCCCTAAATGTTTTATTTATACATTGTTACAACAAAAAAACCCTCACAGGATTGCTCAAACTAAGAGAAGGAAAGAAGAGAACTTCTCTTCCCAGTTTACTTGGTGTTGGATTCTGCTGTGTGCAGAATTAGTCACAGTCTCCCCCTATTTGTCACACAGTAAAGAAAAATACTTTTGAAAATACAAGCTAAAAAATAATTTTAAAGCAACAAAACTGAGCAAAGGACAAACACATCCTTGAAAATTTGAAGCCAAATTTTGTCTTTTATTGCCTAAATGTTAAGTCAGTAATTTCTTTCCATTTTGGTCACAACAACCCTAGGCAACCCTACAGGCTTTGGCAGGAGTGGCTGGAAAGCTGCCTGATGGAAAGAGACCTTGGTGTACTGATGGACAGTTGGCTGAATGTGAACCAGCAGTGTGCCCAGGTGGCCAAGAAGGCCAATGGCATCCTGGCTTGTATCAGGAATGGTGTGGTGAGCAGGACTAGGGAAGTCATCCTGCCTCTGTACTCAGCACTGGTGAGGCCTCACCATGAGTACTGTGTTCAGTTTTGGGCACCTCACTCAGAAAGGACATTGAGGTGCTGGAGCAGATCCAAAGAAGGGCAACAAGGCTTGTGAAGGGCTTGGAGAATATGTCCTATGAGAAGAGACTGAAGGAACTGGGGCTGTTTAGTCTGGGGAAGAGGAGGCTGAGGGGAGACCTTAGTGCTCTGTTCCAATACCTGAAAGGTGCTTAGAGCAAGAGCAGGGTTGGTCTCTTCTCACTGGAGACAGGAGGGGAAATGGCCTCAAGTTGCTCCAGGGTAAGCTTAGGTTGGATATCAGGAAACACTTCTTTACAGAAAGGGTTGTTAAGCGCTGGAATAGGCTCCCCAGGGAGGTGGTTGAGTCACCATCCCTGGATGTGTTTAAAAACCATTTGGATGTGGTGCTCAGGGACATGATTTAGTGGAGGGTTGTTAGAGTTAGGGTAGTATGGTCAGGTTGTGGTTGGACTCGATGATCCTCAAGGTCTTTTCCAACCTGAGCAATTCTGTGATTCTATGCAATGCAGCGAGTGGTGACATTTTGAGAGAAATACACCACCCTTCTAAAATGATGGACATTCTCATCCACAAGACAGAGCTGTAAAAATATCTGTCTGTATGTGTATATAGAATCACAGAATCACCAAGGTTGGAAAAGACTTCCAAGATCATCCCATCCAATTACCCACCCACCACCAATATTTCTCCACTAAACCATGTCCCTCAGTACAACATCTAAATGTTTCTTGTGCAAATTCTTCTTTAGACTTCACTCAATTTATTATACCACAAGGCTCTATTGAACCCCTAACGGCTTCATGGGATTGATTCTGTGTACTTTATTTCTATTTCATGTATTTCAGTATTTGTAGTGCAGTACGGCCACAATGTTCACAGCATCACATGCGAGTCTTCTGGCAGATTTTGAAATATAATTAAAACAAAATATCGTTTCAAAAGGAGGGCCTTCAAATCCAATTGCATTATCAAACTACATTAATACAACCTGAAATGTTCAAAAATCACATCTTACCCCACAGCTGCTCATTTGCTTAAAATCTTGACTATGTTTAGGAACACTTTCCCTCCTCCCCATTAAAGAAAATCCTTTTTGTTTTTGTTTTTTTGGTTGACATGCATGCTTTCAACCACTGTAGGACCTCTCTTAGTATTTTTCCATAAATACACAAAGGCACAAACTATCTTTTCTTTCTTAAGTTGAATCTTTTAGTTGGGACTTAACAGAAAGACACCGCTGCAAGTGTTAACTAGCTTGCTTTGAGGCTGACCTTCAAGACCAAAGCTTGGGAAACACAGGAAACGACTGACCCCAAAGTATCTATCTATTGCATACAGCACAGGCTGTTCAGCTTCCTCTTCGCTACCCTTCATGTAAAGGCAAGTATCTTCAGAGGGCAGCTTATTCACTTCCAACATGGGCTGAATGAGTCATTTTACAGCCCCATCTCTTTGCACTGATGGTAGGAGGAAGCACAGAAAGCCACCAGATACTTGACCACTAGCTTTCAGACAGCTGAGGTTAAGCAATATAAAACCTATCCGAATTTAGGACTGAGCCTGATTTCATACTCATCACATACAAGCTGCTTAAGTGCGCGCATAGAGATGCAATCGGGTTATTGTGGCTGACAAGGTTGCTGTTTGTCAGCTGAACTGTGATAGCTAGCTTGTGCATGAATTCATAGCATGCACTCCCTGCCCAGCTATAAAAACAAAACCACATATGTTGGCTTAAACCATCTTTAAGAACAAATTAAGCACGAAGTTCTACACTATGAGAGTGGTGAGGTGCTGGCACAGGCTGCCCAGAGAGGTTGTGGATGCCCCGTCCATGGAGGTGCTCAAGGCCAGGTTGGATGGGGCCCTGGGCAGTCTGGTTTGGTACTAAATGGGGATGTTGGTGGCCCTGCTTGTGGCAGGGGGGTTGGAGATTCATGATCCTTGAGGTCCTTTCCAATCCAGGCCATTCTGTGATTCTGTGATTCTATGACATGACATGGCTAGTGTCCACTGTGTAGCAAAATAGTAAGTACTTGATAAGCTGTGGTAATTTGCTTGCTAAAGTCATTCTTCTCAGCTTTAAAAGGTGTGAGAAAAAGACACTGCTAGCAACTTTCTTAGTTTCTCCACCACTTACTAAGTACAACTTCTTCAGTGGCTGAAGGGTGTAACACGGGCTTTTCTTTCATCTCTCTGTCATGAAGTCCCTTTACAGGCAGCACCTATTACAAGTACAAGTGTACTGTGCCTCTGGCTACTAATGTTTTAGTATTCAGTAATCTAATTTTTGCTCTTAGCAGAGCACTTTTTTCACTTAAGCAAGTAGGTATTCTTCGTAGTGGAAGAGAACAAATACAAACCCACAAATCTACATTTCCCACAGTTATCTCTATTTTAAAGCTTGACCTCATGCTTTCCTTATCTGACCCTCAAACAATGAGCCCCTCCTAAGGTAGGTGGGCAGTATTACAGTGCTTAGGAGTCTTTTAAAGGGACACAAAACCTGGATAAAGCTAGCCTTGCAGGTAAGCCTAGTGTATCTGCAAGGAATGCTTCTGTGGAAAGTTTCCAACCGTTATGCCTCACCTCCAGGAAAGGAAATAATAATGGGAAAGTGGTAACACTGCTTTTATCACTGATCTACATTCAAAGAAGAAAAAAAAAGTCATCATACACTTTAAACTTTGTACAAAGTCCTGGCTTCATCTCTCCCAGGAGGTGCATCATTGTGTCCAACAGGTCACGACTTGAACTAACCAAGAACTCACGGCCACAAGCCAGTGCAGCCACATCTGTGAGAGAACACAAAATATCACCATAAAATTCATGTTTCAAACATAACTTTATGATAATTACCAGAACAAGTAAAAAAATGTCAGCTGTGATGAATGAACTATTGTATCTGCATCAACTTGAAGCTACATCCATCATCAGAGCAAATACCGGAGCAGCAAATGATTCTGATCAAACTCCCTCATAATTCTACTTCAATAATTCAAATATTTGTTCAGAGTGGCCAGCATTTTAGCAATAACACAGTTATCATGAAACAAAAGGACGGATTCAAGCAGTTCTAGCCTAAAATCTACAAGTAGCATGCGAATGAAGCAAAGCTGATCATCATAGGTTCTGATTTTCAGGAACAGAATTGGAGATTGCTTTACAGTCACTCAATCCAATATGCCTGGCACATTACACAACTGCAATACTTGTGAAAGTCTACTCAGAGTTCTTTTCCTAATTCTCTGCAGGCACTACATTATTCACGCACGAACCAAGTGGCAAAAACATTTCCAATGACTACTGCTCTAAAACAGATTTTCCTCAAGTATTTTCCCTTATGCTAGTCCTGTAACTCAGGAAATCCTTATGTGTAAAACATCTTCAAGCAACTTGGACTTTCAAGCCTCCTCCAAATGAGTGAAGTACCATGAATGTAATGACTGACAGAATTCAGCTCCCTGGTCTCCCATTCAGGGCAGATTTTGGGATGTGCTGCATGACAAAGTTCCTTCACGTACCCTCAGTTTCTCTCTGCCATGAATGTCCTTTTTTTTTTTTTTTTTTTTTTTCCAGTTTTAAAGGCCTTTTAAACTCAGAATTAAGCAGATGTTCAAAGGATACGGCACGTAATTAAGGATTGGTGCCATAATGTGTGTTCATGCTGGGCTGTGTTAAGACTGCACTCAGAACTTCTGTTCTGTTGTTCTCCAACTTCTGACTACTTGGCACTTAGTGACCAGCTATCCTCCTCTAACGTAATACTAGGAGGATTACACTCATACTTTCTACATCATTTGTATGTCTGCATCCTTTATCATACTTAAGTTTCAGCAACCCCTTTCCTAAATTACAAAGAGAAAAACCTTGGCATCACTTAATTCAGTGGAAAAAAATCAGCCTCAGTGAGGCAAGATTTCGTTCCACCACACTGATTCCTCTTCAGGCAGAACACCGTCATCCTCCCCCACACAGGCCATTAAACATTTTATTTGTTCTGACTTTACTTTTGCTATGCTTCTATTTCTATTTTTTTTCTTTTTTTCTTTTTTTTTTTTTCTGGTGAAGCTATTGGAGAGAACTGCATCCCACCCTTAGTTGGTACAGTGGCACAATGTGCCACATATCACTTCTTATTTCTTTAATGGCACACCAGCACCTAAAATCATACATTCAGAAAAGCCACTAATGCAAGATTCACTTGTACAGCCATTGTTTCACCTACCTTGCATCACATCATTAACTAATACCATTTTGACAGCTGCACTGCAGTTGATGTATCATCCCTATCTATAATAGCCTTCCAAGCCAAGGGCAGCCATACAGAGACAATCTCTGTCTTCCTTCTGTTCTGTGATTCCTATCTATTTTCTACCTCTAAAAAAATATTTAGGGTGGAAGTAACATTTATTAACTTCTACTTCTCTTAGGATCATTGAATTGGGGATCTAGAAGACAGCGAAGATGGAGTCCACCTGACAACAAGACTCTTACACAAATTCAAAATGCTGAACACATACCTTGAGATGATTGCATCATCTGCAGCTAGAACATCTCAAAGATGTGAGCACTATCTGTGATTCAGACAGTACACTGCTTGACATTTACAAAGCAAGGTGAGTGCAGATGACTAGTGAAAGAGTACTTGCTTTACTTCAGATTGACCAGAAGTGCTAAGAAATTTCAGAACTGAACAAATTTTATGCATCACATCCTTAACTGAAGTTCAGAAAGTTCAATTCCTCACAGAGTTACCAAATTAAAAAAAATCTGCTAGAGCTTTAGAAGACTAGAAGTCACCCAAGATACCAACACTGACTAAATATTTGACTTCAGAAGGCTGTAATTGTTGTGGTACATACAGAGCAATAAAGAAATTCCCAGTGTACATGAAATGCTATTTTGAGAGATAACATTAACTTACTTGTTACAATCCCTGCCAACGCTAACACAAACTGATTTTCATCAGAATCCAAATCCTGCTGTTTCATGTCTTCACTTAATGACTTCACAAAGCTCTCCATAGTCTGTGCAGTGATAGTAAAAAACTTTGCTGCCTTGCTCTGCAAGCGTGGAGGAGAAAAAAAAAAATTATTCACACTACAGTGACTATGATTATTAGATCCTACAATAAAACTGGACAAACTGCAAAGTTATTAAAGCATCCAGTCACCTCATAAAACAGTATAAAGTAAAAGGTAAACACCAAGTGACATGCTTAATTCTCTAATATTTGGAACCATTATCTCAGGAGAATAAGGGAAACTACTCAGTGCTACGTTTATAAAACTCTATTATTGCATAATTACATCCTAAACTCTAAATAATGCATATTAAACAAAATGCTTACTCTCAAAACCAAGACCATTATCTCTTTGCTTTGCAGTAGCTGCAAGGCATTTCATACTCACCTCAACTACAGCCACTTTTGCCAAAACTCTATCTAGCTGACAACTGGACAGATGCCTAGCCTGCATGACTTGTTATGAATTTCCTAAGAAAACCAATGAAATGCTCAGAGATCCTAATAAAAGGATTCATGTAATGCTCAATATAAGACGAAGAATAACGTGCTAGGCAGTTCTTTAGAATAGGAAATAGAGGTCTCCTCTGGGTCACAGGTCAAATTTAAGTCAATGTCACCTAGGAAAGACAAGCATCATGCCAGAATGAGTAAACAGAAGCATGGCCTGTAATTATGTTATGCAATCTCCTCTACGCAGTGCAAGATCTCAGCTGGAATACTGCTCCATTTTGGGGTATCTCCGTTGAAGAATTAATCATCCAGCACGAAGCTCAGAGCAGATCAAAGAACATGGTCAGAGATGCAGGCAGAACTCACAGAGAGTAACTGAAAGAACGGCTTCTCCTTAAATGCTGACCTGTAAAACACTGCTGAAGCACTATTTCCCACAGAGGATTCTGTTTTTTCGATCAAAATAGCATAACAGAAAGCGCGGGTTTCCTGGTGTGCTTAATAATTTTGCAAGCCATCTCATGAGAACTGAAACCTCGTCACTTCCTGCAGCAAGCCAGTGGAAAAGCCAAATAGCTCAAGAAAGTGCCTACAATTCCCATCACTTTGTGAAATTGCTGAACTCCTACTTAGTTTGCAAAGTGACTGAAATATTCAGTATTTTATCAAAACTACCATCTTCACAATACTTAAAACCCACCGATACCATTCATTTATTTCTCCACTGCTGCACACGGACCACACTGAAGACATGATCTGGGAGAAACGCAGCACAGTTCGTGTGGGGTGACTCCAACAGTGGGACATAGAAGGCAGGGTGAGCCAACACTTTCTTCACAAATGAAGCTGCAGTCCCAGAAGAGGAATGAAGGGGTTATGGGGAAAGACAAGGGAAAAAAAAGTATGCTTCTGCTTGCACCAAATGTATTTTGTATACATGCATGGGTAATGCTCCTCAGAGATGGTCATTTTAACATAAGCAGTGACTATTGTTTAAGCAACAAAGGATACAAGAGAAAATGAAGGAAGAAAATTTAGTATTGCAGACTAATGTAAGCTACTACAAAAAAAGTGTATTCATACAAGAACACTATGCAAGAGTAGTACTAAGAGAGTGCTAAGGAAACCAGAAACCAGGCAAAATTATTAGTCGGTCCATTGAGGTGCCACTGGTGTCCTTGCTGCTGAGCCTTCTTTCCAAACAACCATCATTTCACTAGTGGTGAGGTCTCAGATGAGGAAGCAGAGATCAGTCAAGTTTATAAATAAGAAACATGACATACTTTGTGCAGTCTCTGATTAGCTTGACAGTGTTTTCATGGAACTTGAAGAATCTCTCACCCATAGACGCTGAGATAAGGACAGCTCTGAGAGCAGCCATTAATGTGCTTGAGCTGAAATGGTGCAGTGAGCCCCTCCTTTGCATTCCATGTAACTTCTCAGTGAAAACATCAGTTAACGTACAAAAGTGCTGCCATAAAATACAGAGCAGATTTTCCCCATCACAGATAACTGCAGTAGCAGCTCACCTGGTAACGTCCAAAATGTCTTATGTTGAAGTAAACCTTGATGTTACTCTGAAATTAAACCTTCAGTTTCTGTTTCCACACCCTGCGGTGTGAATACCCATCTGAAGTATGTGTCATATGTGTCTTTTTGAAAGACACATAAAACAACCTCATGGAAGTTAATTTACTTGGTCCTTAGCACATGCAGGTAGGTGTACTTGAATACTGTCACTCATGCTGCTTCTCCGGATGTTTCTTTAGGTTCTTCGGGAAATGTGAAGCATCAGTACAAATGCCAGGCACTTCTCTCCCACTGCCTTGCAAGCTATTCATGTTACACTTGAAATTTGCTGCTCGAGTTTTGACTTGCCCAACCCGCATCGACATGAATGCTTTATTAGTCACAAATATCATATCAGTCAATCTACATTACAGAGCTATATAAAAGAACTACTTCTATATCCGTGCAGTGATTGAAAAAGCTGAGCATTGTTCCCCAAGGCATGAAGTTATTTTGAATTGATGCCACCCTTCCCCACACAGTTAAATATGAGCAATAGTTTGAAAGCACTCTTCATGTTCTCATACGTTTTTGTAGTTCACAGCATCTTCCCCTGAGAAGGTACTACAAGCTGCACAGCTTGTCCAAAAATAACCCAAACCAAAAACTTCGTATGACAATCCTCCATCGTCTTTTAATAACCTGACTCACTGCCAGTTGTAATCTGTGGTTGATACAATGCCATGCAATCCATTTCTCTAATTCACAGTAGCCTTGTTGCAAACCTTTTGTTATCATTTTACTTGCACCTCCGCAAGTTATGCCCAAAAATGTTTCTATGACCCTCACCAGAAATGCAGCAGTTCAGTGGGCTCTAATGATTGCTAGGGATTTCAAATAAACTTAGAAATAAAAGAATTGCATCTTCATAGTTAGGCTTTCCACACAACTGTATGTCAGTGTATAATTCAGCTTTTTACTTAATGCTATTTGATTTTTCTATTTAAGACTGTTTTCAACAAGGCTTCTACTAACTTTACTCTCAGCTTGTAGAAGAAGGTCACATACAGCACTGCTAGTGTTTTGTTTGTGGGAAGCGTGCCCTTTCAATACCATCTCACAAGTCAAACAATGCCTGGTCACTAAATGATTATCTGCTCTTACAGTTATAAACTGTCCTGAAAATACAGAATGTGATTTTATTCTGGTTTTACAGCTATGGGTGGGCTTTGTAGTATCTGTCCACCTATCAGTTTTTTTGTATTTTATATCTTGAATGATCAAAAGGTATCACTGAAAGCTATCATGTTGCTGAAAAACCAAAAGAAAGCGTGACATCAGTTTACTCAGCTTCAACACAACTCCCTCTCATGTCAGCTTCGAGAAGACCAAAAATATATTTTTGTCAGGCTTATTCTTCTGATTCCTCCTAATTCCACCAGCTGCAGTGAAATTACATTAGTTATAACATTAACACTGTCTATAATTGATGGGGTTTTGTTGTTTGTTGGTTGTTTTTTTTTCTGCTGCTTTGTTTTCAGTAAACTGCCTGCTCATGTTTAACACGGAAGATTTATTAAGATCCACTAAATTTGAAACAGCTACACTTTCTAAACTTTCAGGATTCACACAAATATTAAGGCAGCACAAAGACTGTACTGGGGTAAGGATTCAAGGAAGCAGAACTGATGAATGTGTCCTCCTTTCACGGAAACAGCTCCTCCAAACTTTCTGCCAGCATGGAATTGCTGCTTGATAATGTTATGCTAGCTGTAGCCTTGCTTCCAAATTAACTGTGTGTGGCAGACAACAGGTAACCCTTACTTGCTAAAACAAAATTTAATTACTGCATAGCATTTAATATCTCCTGCTTTTCTTAAAAGAACATGGATGTTTCCTAGAGAATATTTAAATCAGGAAACATCTTTGTTGTCCAATTTATTTCTGAAATATATTCCTATGTTAAAAAGTGTAACAAAACAAGGTACTTATTTTAAATACCTACCAGCATTACCACCAGTAAGTATTCACCTGCCATACTTACTCCTCCTAGAATGGTTTTAACAGCCTCCTCATTGTTAGATACACCCCACAGCAAGGTGCAGACAGCTGCACCCATTTCTGTGCAATACTCTGCTTGCTGCAGGAGCTGCTGCTTGGCCTCACGCAGGTGCTGCCGGAGGTCTAGTTTCTCCTGAAATGACACAAAGAAATTAGGGTTGCACTTCATGTCAGCCCAGATGTTTCTAGGCTACAGGACAGAATAAGAAACGCCACAGTCATATATATGGAAGGGTGTGTGTGGGATGGGGGGCAAATTCACTGCCTTGAATGTGAATCTTCTCTCCTGAGCTACAGCCAAGTAGTAAACATATCACTTAGGCTGACAGTAACCAGAAGCCTGTCCACAAGGGCAGGCCAAGTGACCCACTGAGACTGAGGGGCACCTAGAGAAGTCTGATAAGAAAGTCTACTCATCCTAAGCAAATAGCTGTGTATCTCAGAGAGGGAAGAGATTTCAGCATCAGAAGTCAGCCTTTCCAGTCACTTTACAAAAGATACTGGGAACATCACAAAGGAAGGGAGGGTTCTTCTGGTTTTCAAAATGGGCTGCCTTCATTAATGTGGGAGAAACGTTGGCTATCCCTGTTGGTTCTTCTAACTTCTTTCAACTGGCATATTCCTGAAAAGTAGTGGCAAAGTAAGAGTCCCTAGAAAAACAAGCCTGAAGTTTGAAGTGCCTTTCACATGTAAGACCAGAAAAGCCCACACTCCATTGTGTATCCTGCAGCTGAGTGAGGTGCTCAGTAGTTCTTGCTATGGAGCTAAAGAAAGAACAGAGCAATTCAACACAACCAGGACTCAGTCTCAATCTGTCAGTACTTTTCAGTAAGACTTAGGAAGGTGGCCAAAAGATGTAACAAGATTACGTATGATTCTATGTCTCATTGGCTTCCCACAGACTGCTACAGGTACAGCAAAACTGCTGCATTTCTCAGCTTCAAGCTAGTGCTGACAGTGAGATGGAGACCGGGATACCACAGTCTGCCAGATGGGTGGGAACTCCCAGGTAGTGCTGAGGGGTGGTATTAGTGCTGCAGGGAAAGATAAGGGCCTGTCAAGAAAACTGACATTAACTCAGGGATTAAGTGAGAGAACCACAGATCACAGAAGGATCTTGATCTGCCCATTCTGGGGGGGGGGAATGTGATTTTCAGATTCAGCACAGAAAACATTCTCCTCAGCCCACTCTTCCCTGTTTATCCGCTTATCAGGATGAAGCCTGGGGAATGAGAAGGCATCTTTTCGATGTCAATTTGCAAAGTAAGCAAATGCAACACAACCTTCAAGCACATATTCCCATCGAGACTTTAAAGTTCCTATCTTGGCATTTTAGAGATTCGCCTCAATATTTTGCTTTCAGTTTGGAGAGAATAGAAAGGTAGTCACCTAAAAATTTATGTAACATAGAATCAACCAGTACGAGGTTGTTTGTCTGCTTGTCATCAATCACCTGCCTAGCCCCCTATATCACATCTGACAGCCAGAACTGAGCTGCTTTATCATGCTGCTAATGGAACACACAGGGAAGGATTTGGAATGTTCAAATGAAATCTATCAAGCAGACTGACATGGATATTTTCTTTCCATAGTTTCTCTCACCTTATGGCTTAATATATGCGAAAGACTGAACCTTGCTGCCAATTCCCTAGGCATAAATTGTCACAAAAATTGTCTCGTTTCTTAATTCTCTGATCATTTTCAGGTGAGCCAAAAACATTTTCAGGTTTAGCCAAATTTTATTTTTTACATAACTCACTGCTGGAATTATCAACTATTCTGTTACCATGTGCATCGACAAAATGTCCACAAGCATCTTTCTGTCTATCTCCTATACTGTCCCTGTCTTTTTTTTTTCTTGTACTGTCCATAGATAAATGTACAGTTTAATGTGTTTTATTGGCATTTTGCATGGGGATGCTAATGCTAAATAAACAAAGCTCTGCCAGACCACATAGCTACATCCCCCAACAATGGTGCAAAGCCACGAGAAACAGCACAGTGGTGCACAGATAAAAACAATACGAGAACAAAGGTACGAAGCAAAGAAAACAAAATAGAACATTCAGGAGCCAGGAAGATAAATGGAGCTTGAAAGCAAACAACCTGGAAGTGAGACACTCCTGAGAGTTCAAATCGTGAAGCAATCGCTGCGTTATGCAACACCACCCCCCTCAGGAAATGGTCAAGGCACAGGAATACAGCGATGCTTAAGCACCTAACTACAAAAAGGCAGACAAAGGAGGCATTAGCCAAGAATAACACGCACACTCCAGGTTTTGTTCAGGTTCAGGAAGCAATGCAATTCACTCACCAGTGATGCAGCATTGCAAAGCAGTTCTGGAAAACAGAATGTTGATTTGTGGTCCCCTAAGAAAAAGGCACTGCTCAGCCAGAAAAGGCATTTTTATCATTCGTTTCAGTGAATCATTTCCTTTTCCTTCAGAAAATAAATATGTAAAAAATAATTCTGGAACTATACACAAGGATACATAAAACAGCAAGCAAATGAAAAATACCATGCAAAATCATAAAGGAAAAAAAAAAATCACTTCTGCATACACCATCTTCTTTCATCCTAAAGAGCTACAGGACTTCACAATGTACATAAACACTATCCACTCAAATGCAGAATCACAGAATCATAGAATGGCCTGGGTTGAAAAGGACCACAAAGATCATCTAGTTTCAACCCCCCTGCTAGGTGCAAGGTCACCAACCACCAGACCAGGCTGTCCAGAGCCACATCTATCCTGGTCTTGAATCATCTAGCCTGCCTCCAGGGATAGGGCATATACTTTTTTGACAAGCAACAGGAGCCATTTAGGCAACTGGTGTACACTGCACAACAGCAAAGATATGAAGAGCTTTGATCAAGATCACCAAATACCAATAATTCTTAGTTAACTACCCATGCTTTAACTAAAAGTTTCATCCTAAAGAAATCACTAACCTAAGTCGCCTTCCATTCATTTTTTTGAGTATTCATGTGTACAAAACGTGGGCCTCACTTAATCAATATCCAAAGCAGCAACACTATTAAATCCTACTGAGATTTCAATCTGGATGCCTAAACAACAAGCACATCAAAACTGCAATATTTATCCCAGCAGACAGAAAAGTATCCAAACAGACAGTTATTCCATCACATGAACTGCCACCCAGACAGCTGCTACATTCATACTAAAGTTCACACCAGAATGACTTGTCCACACAGACATGCCCTAAAACTTCAAGTCACGAGTTTTCACTTATTTATAATTTCTGTAGACTTATCTGTCTTTGTACAACATTCCACCTGGCAGATTCTAACTGCAGAACTCCAGCAAAATGAGCTTCTGCTAAGTTCACTCTTCCTTGGAAGGGAGTTTTTGCAGCAAATAATCACCACTGCTTCACAACTGCCTCTCAACAATTAACCACTAGTCTATGCAATCTTCTGTGAAGTCTATTGGACTCTAATAAGATCTGAGAGATCGTGGTCTTCATTATTCCTGCATTGTTAAGAATTTCCTTTTTATAATCACTAATCACTGTACTGACATAGCAAAAGCAGCTCTGTAATTCTGTCTCAACTCACAGCCGTACGTGGCAACTGGATCAATAGGTGCATTGTGAAAGAACCTCAAACTAAACACAGGTACGCAGCTTAAAGCAAACCAAAGGAGAAGCCAGCATCATTTTGCACGTTGTGTTGCTTACATTTTCTTCTGTTCTCCTCTCTGAAAACATGCTACAGTTGCAGTGAATTGAAAAGAATGGATTTTGTACCGTACCTTTTCAATGCCATCTACACCACAATCTCCCCGAGCACACAATGCCATACTTCAGCATGTTACTATATATTTATAGAAAACTAGTGGCTGATTTTAACATTACAAAGGCCAGAAAGAGCCTGTTTTCCAGGCTGAGGAAGTTTTTTTGACACACAAACAAGAAAAATCACTTGCTCCCAATTTCCTACTCAGAACTTAAGCATACAGATCTCACTATCCTGATGGCAAATATACCTTCTTCTCCCTCATGCAATCTGTCTGGGCTGCTTCCAGGCGGGCTCTGAAGTGCTCACAATCCATTTTCAGCTGCTCTATTTCCTCCTCCTTTTTCTCCATGCCTGTGACAGAATAAATTAGATAAATGAAATAATAAGTTACAGCCAACTGGCTTGCACTAAAGAAAAATGAATCCACTAAGCACAGTATTTATGAGACACATGGAACATCTGCTTGTGTTAGACCACCTCCTAGTGGCCAAACCGGTATTTAGCAATTTGTCACATTTTAACAGGACTTAAAAAAACAAACCTAAATGTATGGTGCTTCTGATTCAAAACAGCAAAAGACTGGAAATACTCCTATTTGCCCAAGGAGGCTGTGGATGCCCCATCCCTGGAGGCATTCAAGGCCAGGCTGGATGTGGCTCTGGGCAGCCTGGTCTGGTGGTTGGCAGCCCTGCACATAGCTGGGGGTTGAAGCTAAATGATCTTTGTGGTCCTTTTCAACCCAGGCCATTCTATGATTAAATAGCATGTGCTGATAAGATACTATTCTGGAATTGAGCACCCCAGGGATTTTTTTTTAAATGTACCCAGCGTTCTATTTTGTTTTCTATCTGCTGCCTTCAGAATTCAGGAAATACAGTGAAAAATCAAAGAAAAGGAACACCAACATCATTCAAAATTGAATGTTTCAAATGAACAAACCACAAATTGTGTGGATAATAGGAATTTTATGCAACTACTTCCAATATTTTACATGAATGTGCATAAAGCATTATGAGTCACTTAAACAGTGCCAGTGATAACCCAATTTACCAGTGACTCCCTTAAAACTGAGTCTGATTTGTCACACACCTCATGCTGCACTTCAGGTGCTTTACATAGTGGCTGGAAATCAAGTTTCAAATATTACATTATTTTTTATATTATTTTAATACTGTATTTTAAAATAATTCAGTATTATAAAAAATATCAATAATTACGTAATAATGCAATAATAATTACATTATTATTTTACAAGATCCTGATGTCTGTTTAAGAAAAAAAAAAAAAAACTTGGAAGGATTTTTTGAGAACAATTATTGTGTTTATATATACTTACTATATACCGAGTAAGTATATATATGTATTGTGTATTTATATATGTGTATATATATGTATTGTGTGTGTATATATATATACTCACTGTTTATATATACTTTTTTACTTCAAAAAACATGGCTCCAGCTAGTTTTATTGTGTGTGTTTATACCTTTACGTAATTTCATAAAGTAACAAGCAGACATTATCTACTCTAAATATTAAAAGCTTAAAAATAAGTTATGCACCACCCGAAGCATCACATCCTTGATCATATCTGTTGCTTATGGCTTAGCATGCCTTATATATACTTCCCCTCACACACAGTCAATATTTCTGAATGTACTTACCGAGTAACACACACGATCACGCCATAAAAAGATATCACAGAATCACAGAATGGCCTGGGTTGGAAGGGACCTCCAGGATCATGAATCTCCAACCCCCCTGCCACATGCAGGGCCACCAATCTGCCCATTTAATACCAGACCAGGCTGCCCAGGGCCCCAACCTGGCCTTGAACACCTCCAGGGATGAACGGAGCATCCACAACCTCTCTGGGCAGCCTGTGCCAGCATCTCACCACTCTCTTGGTAACGAACTTTCCCCTGATACTCAACCTAAATCTTCCCTCCTTCAACTTAAAACCATTTCCCCTTGTCCTGCTGTTATCTACTCTTTCATAGAATTGACTCCCCTCCTGTTTGTAGGCTCCCTTTAGGTACTGAAAGGCTGCAATGAGGTCACCCCCCAGCCTTCTTTTCTCCAGGCTGAACAAGCCCAGCTCCCTCAGCCTGTCTTTGTAGGGGAGGTGCTCCAGTCCCCTGATCATCTTCATGGCTCTCCTCTGGACCCTCTCCAACAGCTCTCTGTCTTTCTTGTACTGGAGGCTCCAGACCTGGACACAGTACTACAGGTGGGGCCTCACAAGAGCAGAGTATATCATAAAGCTTAAAAGTAACATCAAAAAAATACATTTAGTTTAATAGCTCTACATTATTTGGAAACAAAGTTCCTTTCTTCCTTTGTCCTAATTGACAAAACGTTATGATGTCTAATGCATCCACGCAACTTTGAGCAGCAGATATAAAATAAGACACCTAGAGCAGCTCTTCTAAAAAGATGAGATGTATTTCCATTTGACCACTGTGGGATGCTAAACCACCAACAGCGGGACATTTCAACAGACAGCATCCAGGCAATGCAAATCCCACTCCCAGGATGTGCCCAGGGGCCGGGGTGCTCTCTCCAAACATGCAATTCCTTTGAACCTACAGCTCAAAGGAAACTAATAGAAATGAACAGGAGGATGGATTCATTGAGCTTCTGAGGAACCGTTCAAGTGATAGGAAATTTTTCTTTCCTTCACAAAGTCCAGTCCCATGTCTCTTATTACTTTGTGAATGCGGGTCTTCAGCATCGTCCAGACTCTTCTTGAACTCTGGCAAATGCTTTCAGACATACGGTCTGATTTTTGGGTGCTCCTGTGTGGAGCCAGGAGCTCAACTTGATGATCCTTATGGGTCCCTTCTAACTTAGGATATTCTATGATTCTATAACATAAAGACATATAGAGTCCAAGGATGGCATGCTCTGCTTATCAATGGCAGACCAAGAACCACTTCATCCTTGCCAGGTAAGGACACCCAGTGAAACCAACTCCTAGTGAAGCCCTCACTCACTGCAAGGAGACAAACTCTTCAGAGTGAAAATAATCACCTCCACTCCTTGATGAGATGGATTCATCCTGAATATAGTACTGGCAGTGCCGGGAGGCATATGAAGATACTGCACATCTCACTACTAGATTTCTGAGACCAAGACTGAGCTAGGAGAAAAGGAATGGTATTAACTAAGGTCTGCATATAAAGCACTACGTGCTGTCTTTTGAAGACTTGCAGATAAAAGGAGAAGAATTTACCTCTAAGGTATTGTGATGGCTTATGTCAAAGGAAACTAACATTAAGTCTATCCTATAAGGGAAAAAATGGTAGGACTGATGAAAAGACCTGATAAAGAGACCTACTGTCAGCTATGCCTCAATCCTGGGAACTCCTCTTGTTGCGTCCAGTCAAATCTTCCAGGTGTGCTCTGAAGTGAATTCAAGGTTGGATTTACCAGTCCCAACACTTGACAATCCCTTGACATATGGCAGTTGAACGAGCACCAGACATTTTTCTGATGTTAAACACCACAGCTGTGCTGCTCACTCCCTGCAAAGTGCAGTCCTGTCAGCACAGAGGAAGCCCGACAGATTTTCCCATTGTCTGTAAGTCCCAACTCCCTGGTAAGAAAGCTCCCTCCTTTTTGAGACTAAAATCCTGAGGTTCAGACTGTCTGCCTTAAACAAGCGAAGAAGCAGTGTTCACTGTCAACAAGGATGAGCAAAAAACACAAAATGACATCTCTATACAAACAGGAAATATGTGACATTACCACTGCAATGGTAAATCTGACTCCAGGAAGAAGTGACATTTTTCCCTGAGAGCAACAGCATAGCCAAAAAAAAGGAGACACTTGGTGTGACAGAAGAAATGGCATACAATTCTAGTGGGCTCGTTCTTCTCCATGCTATAGGTCACACCAGAGTATTTTCTGGAAAAGAGATCTAAACTCAACGCTCTTGGAAGTGGAGAAGTGAGTACAGTTACAATGAATAACAAGTGATGGGATTCCAATTCTACTGATCTAAACAGTGCTATATACAGTGGGCTAGGTCTTGCTGAATAGGTGTATAATAATTTTTCTAAGGTTCCTGGAGCCAACCACTCTTCCTGAATAGGGCAGTAAGAAGAAAACAGACCCCTCTTTTTGAGACAAAGAATCATGCTGGAAAAAGCCTTAGCAAAGACTTCAACAGCAGCACAAATGTAGTGCCAGTTGTATTGTTGCCAGTTCAGATCTTGGATACCACCAGCGAGATACTCCCATAGCAAACAGGTATCTAACTGATCAAGCTATGCAAGTGATAAATACAATGATCTCAGAGCTTCCTGAAGCTATTCAAGATGTCATCAGTCTCACAATTGAACAAACAAGAGGTGTTTAAAGTCTCTGGCTATAATCCAGATTATAAACCAATTGATGTTTAGATGTTCTAGGTTTACTACCTAGAAAACTGATAGTTGCTGAAAGCCTGAATCAGCCACAGGGTTCAATGAGACCTGTATGGAAAACCACCTCAAGCAGCTGCCAGAAGAGTCCTGTAAGCTTCACACACTAACATCCACAGACCTTACTTAAGGACCAACATCCACAGACCCTACTTGACCAGAACCAGACAAGTCGCTATTTTAAGCCAGAGGATTGCCAACAGCTGCAATGGTGCCCCTGTGACATCTCACTTTTTGTGAGCAGCATGTTCCACAGCGTATCTTATTCTATGCTGTTGTTGCTACAGAAGTGGGAGCAGAATGGAATAGCAAAAATCACCACTTGACATGCCCAGCTGTAGAGGAAAACAGCAGCAAAAGCCTGAATAAGTAATCAAGACACAACATTAATTGGAAGAAAAGTCTCCTTTATGGGGATACACACAAGATAATTTAAAGATTGACTTCAGCAATTCCTCCAAAGTACCTACAGAGTAATGGCAAGCCAGCAAAACATTTGGAAGAAAGTCTTGAGATCAGTGTGTCAACAACACAAACCTGCAGCTAGAATACACTGATAATGACACCTTGGTGCCTGACACAAGGAGCATAAGAGGAATTTTGTGGCTGAGCATGTATGGGAACTGCTGAGTCACGGTCTAAACCTCTGATTGATCACCTGAGGCAAGCAATGAGTCAGCCAGAGGAGCACAGGTGAAGGCAATTTACCTGTGCTGATGGAAGGGGTGGAGCCTGGCTTCTAGACCTATTGAAGAGCTGGCTACCAGTAGGGAAGGATCTTGAGATCCACTCTGCTGGAGTTTTGTAAGTGAGCCCAGGATACAGGTAAGCTTTCCATCTATTCTCTTTTTGTTATCGTAATCTGCTTTGCCTAGCTCTCTTGTTTATTTCATAATTATAACATCTTAATCTTCATTGAGTATACAGAGCACTGATAAAATTATGTAAAAGAAAGATGTAACGAGTTGAAGATGTTGAAAGCTTAACCCAACAGGCAACAGTCCTTGATACCATGCAATGGTATAGGCCATTTCAAGATCTTACATCACATCTTGTGACATGGATGATACTTTAAGTGGTAGCAGGAGATGGTATAGTCTCCTTATCTCTATTGGTACTTGATGGCATGCAAGAAGCCTTCCAAAGAGCAGATGATGGAGACTGCTGGAAACTCCACCCCAATACAATCTTTGCTATCATAGGCAGGTCTTGTGCTTATGTCCTAGACTTTTGTTGGAGGAAAAAGAAAATGGAAGCATTAGCCCAGAGTTCTGCCAGCAATTGCAGCAAGCTCTAAAGACTGGAATGTAATTCTGAAAAGCGGTAACTTCTGGAAGTTACAGAAATGTTTGAGTCGTGATGTTTCCTAGGTACTCTATTGTACTTCTAGCTACAGAATTTTGACTAAAAATTAGTTAATAGCAGGAAAGCAACTTTGAACCAAAGGATCCTATGAAAAGTGGTTCCATGTCTATCTTAACCAACATAGCCAGCATTCTGGTGTAGGACTCCAGAACTCTGCTTCTCTTCCAGTACTTTGTGGCCAATACATTTATTTGAGGCTAGACCACAATCTAGCTCTCTACCATCTGAGCCAAAGTCCCAAAGAAAGTTAAAAAATTATACATTAAGGTCTCATTCCAGAAGGCTACGTGGGCCAGAGATTATGCAGACACTCACACCAAGAGGCAGGGACTTGCTAGGTAGATCTTTCACTCGACTGCTTGGGTATTCATCAAGAGAAAGTCTCACAGAGAAGAAGTCAAGATCTGACTCAAACTCAAGGTAGAATAGCTGTTTTCAAAGCTCAACCTATTAAACACAAAGCTATTACTTACTCCTTCAAATTTAGCTTCTTAACTGCAGGTTTGCTTTTTTCTTTTTTTCACCTGTTCTTTTGCTGATCACTTTAAGAGACATTTTGAAAAACAGAATACTTTCCCATTCCCTCCAAGAAGAGTCACTTTTTTCCTGATGCACCTTCTTTGACCATGTGAACTGTATTATCCACAGCAAAATATTAAAAATTAATTTGACCTAAGCCTAATCATTTCTAATGTGCTTTCTAATTTTCTTCATTGCAAAAACAATTTCCTGAAGCAATCTAAACAGCACAGTTAAACTTGGAACGCCTCAAACTCTACGACTATTCATCTGGGCAAAACAGTTTGCACTGAATAGACTTGGCAGAAACTATCTCAGCTTACAACATGGCACCACTCACTTGATTCAATAGCATCCAGTTTCTGGAACGTCCACACAATATCACCATCGAGTATCTTGGGTAAGAAATCTCGCAATTGCATGACCTCAGTTGTCAGCCTTTCCAAATCCCTCCTTCTGACTTGAACGAAGTCCTCGTTGCTTTCATCCTTCTGAAATGGGAAACAAAACAACCACCAACATAAAAACAAACAAACCCCCTTCCCCCAGAAAATGACACTGTTACTGCTTTGAAGTACACTTTTGCTTGCGTCCTTTCTCTCAACAGTATTGCTCTGCACTACATCAATTTAGAAATTCATAACCTTATTTTAAGAGAACTATTGAGCAATAATTTAAAGCGAGTCACTGGGACAGAAAGTCTTTGAGTGTAATCTGATTTTTGCCACTCTGGCCTAAAGCAAATTGTATTATCTTTTTACATCTGTTTTTTCACCTAAAACGTGTGCAATGTACCTCAGAAAGCTGTAAGGATTAACATTCACATGTCTGAAAATGCTATACTTATGCAAAGCTATTGTTTAGAAACTGCTGTAAAACATACACTGTAACTCCATTTTTTAATTAACTCAAATAACTGCAAGATCCTCAGTTATCTAGAACATGTGTATTTTTTTTTGTCAGAGTACTTGACCTTTTGTGAGAAGCAAAAGCTGTTTGTAATCCAATCCCACATAAAAGTAACTCAATCCCAAATCAAAACAAGAAGAGAGGAGGTGGATGCCCCATCCCTAGAGATGCTCAAGGTTAGGCTGAACCAGACTCTGAGCAACCCAATGTAGCTGTAGGTGTCCCTGTTCATTGCAGGGAAGTTTTACTACATGACCTTTAAGGGTCTCTTCTAACTAAAATGGTTCTATGAAATGTATTTACTTATTTCCTCTTGTGCCAAGATACTGCAATGAAATAACTTCAATTGCACAGTTCAAGAGAACATGTATTGATTTTTAAAACGATACCAACTTTTTCTCTATAATAAACTACCCAACTCCAGTTTCTGGTGTATTTTGGTATGCACACTGCTGCATCTTAAAGATGCTACACACTGACATAGAAAAAAGTTCAGCTTCCTTTGTCTAAAACATTAGTGACCTAGTAAACTTTCACAATGCAAAAATGACATTTCTAAGCAGTTTAAATTTTAGGGAATGGTGCGGGTCTCAGAAACTGAGATTCTTGACATACTGTTTCACCTTCTTTCAGACAGATGAGTGTGCTAGAGAATACAAGAAACCATCGCCTCAAGGTACAGCCATCTCCAGTCCAGTCTTCCAAACTCAGGTCATTATGGAATCACAGATTCATTAAGGTTAGGAAAAACTACTTAAGATCACCTAGTCCAACATCAACCCATCACCACCATGGCCACTGACCATGATCCTCAGTGCTACAATTACCCTTTCCTTGAACACCTCCAGGGACGGTGACTCCACCACCTACCTGGGCAGCCTGTGCCACTGCATCACTATTGCTTCTGAGAAGAAATTCTTCCTAATGTAGAGCTTGAACCCACCTTGGCACAACTTGAAGCCATTTCCTCTCATCTTATCACTGTCCTGATGACCTCCCTGCTCCTGCTGGCTGCACTATTTCTGATACAATTTAGGATGCTATTGGCCTTCTTGGCCACCTGGGCACATTGCTAGCTTATGTTCAGCAGGCTGCTGACTAACATCCCCAGATCCTTTTCCTGAGAACAGCCTTCCAGCCATTCTGCACCAAACTGCTGTATTGCCCAGGGTTGTTATTACAGAAGTGCAGAGCCCAGCACCTGGTCATCCCACTGCCTCAGCCCAGCTATCCAACCTTTCCACATCCCTCTGTAGGGACTTCCTACCCCTAGGCAGATTGACACTCCCTCCCAGCTTGATGTCATCTGCAAACTTACAGAGGGTGCACCCAATTCCCTCATCCAAATCATCAATGTAGACATAAAACAGGGCTGGCCCCAGTACCGACCTCTCAGGAATTCTGCTAGCAACCAGTCAATGACTGGATTTAACTCCACTCACCATCAATACAGACATGGAAAATGGTTTTTAACTTGCAGTTGCAATTAGGGAGCCTTTATGGGAAAGTTAGCACAATCAAGACACACAACACTACGCAACTCACAGAAAAACAACTCATTTTAGTCTCAAGAACACATATGCATATGTAATAGGACTCCATAGAGGACACCAGGTGAACACTTACAGTCAGACAAACAGGAAAGCCAGAAATAGAGTTCAGTAAGTTCAAAACTACAAAGCATAGCATAAAAACCACATTATCTGCTCTCAGCGACCAAACCCAGGCAAAACCCACTACCGAGGCTCAAAACGCGGGGTGTTCCTCCCTGTAAACCACAGACCCTCACACAGAAAAACCAGGATTTATTTTTTTCACCCAACACTCCCCCGCACTACAACGTCCAGCTGCAACAAGTCGCTCCGCGCAGAGGGAAGCACGGCCCTTCCCCGCAGCCCTCAGGCAGAGCCCGCCCTCCAACCGGGCGCTACCTGCGCTTCGCCCGCCTGCCCCGCGCAGCGCCGCATGGCACCAAGCACCGCCCGGCGGCAGGGCGGGAAAAACAGGGGAAGGCAGAGGGCGGGAAGACGGTGCTGCGCCGGCGCGTCACGCTGCGCCGCTGCCCTGAGGGAGGGGCTGGGCTGGGCGTTTTGTGATTTACAGCGAATAAAAACACCTTTAGGCACAACAGTTGTCTATTTATTACTATTATTATTATTGAGAGAGTTTGTGTAAAAGCGGGGCGCAACTGCTCTCCCGTACCGCGAACAGCCCCCACCCCAAGCCTGATGACGTCAGAGAAAAGGCGACGGCGCTTTCGGTGACGTCACCAGTGTGCGCCCGAGTGTCGGTGGCACGGCTCGGCGCGGCGCGGTGCTGCCGGGCCATGGCTCCCGCCGCCGCTCAGGCTCCTGAGATCCAGTTCGCGCAGCGGCTGGCCGCCAACGAGAAGCGAATCCGGGACCGCGCCGTGAAGAAGCTGCGGGGCTACATCAGCGTCCGCACGCAGCGCCCGGACGGTACGGAGCGGCGGGGCACGTGTGGGGAGGGCCTGCGCTGAGACTTCTCTGTGGGGATCGGGGCTCGCTTCTTTGCTTCCTTCTTTCTTTTTTCTTGTTTTAACCTTTACGCATCTATTTCGCAATATGTGAGAGTTGAAGGCTGTGGTTTTATGCTCTGCTGCCTGCTGAGGAGGTGGTCCCAGCTGTTTCAGTCTTTCCTCATAAGGGGGGTGCTCCGGGCCCTTAACCGTCATCAAAGCAGAGCGGGGGGGTGGGAGGATGGAAAATCACCTCCCTCGACCTGCTGGGCCCTACTTTCTAATGCTCCCCAGGGTACCTATTGGCTTTCTTCCTGACAGTTGCTATAAATAAATCAAAGGAGATGCCTAGGGATTAGTAAGAGCAAGCAAATGTACGTACTGCCCCTCCGAAGTGCGGATTGTGATATATTTCTTATATCACTATGTTAAGTCTCACTGCAAAGTGTAGATTCCTCCCAGTTTGTGGAAACTCTCAGGTGGATAGGAGCTCCCTCACTAGCAGATAAGGTTGCATGTTAATTAATGCCTTAAAATACTAGGAAACCACCAGAGTGAAGCAGTCAGTAAACCTTTTGCATGTGAAGATCAACCCACCGTGAAATTCAAACAAGGAGAAAAGCAAAGTGACTGATTTCCAGTGTTCTTAGATTTATTTGCTCTCAAGTAAAGTTCAAGCTAGTAATATTAAAATGAAAGTTAGCTGATTTGGTCTTGAAAAAAAGAGTGTTATGTTCAGGAAGAGTTGTTTTTTTCTTAATTTTCAAGTTATTTATGAGTAAGCAGGCATATGTCTGTACAGTGTTTTGTCGGAGATGAGAGTCATACATCAGGTAAGCCAGTTAGAGTCCTTCACTTGAACAATAAAGAACTTGCCAACTTTTGAATGAGGTACCAGAGTTTCTGCTGACTTCGTCTCATGGTCCATAGGTAGGCAGAACACAGGCCATGGACTGTTCAGTATGATCTATGCTAGGGTTATTAGCCATGCCAAGGAGCCTTTCTGAAGAGCTAGAACTTCAGTGAAGTTAAATTCCAGAGGAGGCATAGAACCACTGAATCTCTGAAGTCATTACATGTGTGTGGATGAACTTGGATAAGCACATTATTTTTCAGAAGTGGTCCTTTTTGTTTTTCTGATCAATCCATTCCTTGTGTATGGCAAAAACAAAAAAAAAACAAAAAAAAAAAAGGCAATGTATAGGATACAGGCACTACAAAGCAATAGCAGGTAATAAAGAAGGAAAATTGACTCAACTCTTCTGACAACCAGCAACAGCTTGAAAGATAGGTAATCTCTATCCAGAGGGATGCTGCTCACAGTTTAATGAGAGTGGATGGATCCAGGCTCTAGCCCTTCTCTCTCTCAGGTGCATTGCTTGTACCTGCACTCCCTAGGTTAGCCACTCCTCACCTGGTGCTCAACCACTGGTTCAGGCTTTGACCTGGCAGTTCCACTGCACCGTGTAAGAGAAGAGCGTGCTATTCTGGGCTGATAATTGGAGGGTCGACTTTTCTTCTATCTTTAGTATCTTTCATAAAGATACTGGTTAAAAAAAATAAGCACTAAGCACTAAAAAGCTGTATTCTAGGTTTTGCACTTGTCATCTCTTAGCAATGTGCCAGAGGGAACAAAGCTTAACTGCAGACGGATTTATCAGATTTACCTTAGTGTTCATCTCTCATCTCTGTGATTTCTTTGAAGTCTTTGTTACTTTGGCACACAATAAAATCTTAAAGGCATGAAATCAAGTGGTGTTAGTCTGCTTATTGTAGGAATCAGTATTCACTCATAAGAATATGACAAAAAGAAAGAAAAAGTGGGAAATAGAGGGAAGCAGAAAGAAAGAACTGCTTGAAAGCATTTTGGTGGAAGTGTGGGATGTTTCATTTTCATTCACGCTTATTCTGTATTCTAGGTGGCTTTAGCCAGGAAGAACTGCTGAAAATATGGAAGGGACTGTTCTATTGTATGTGGATGCAGGATAAACCGCTGCTACAGGTATAGTACTGTTTTTATGTTTGTCTGAGTGAGTGTCTTCTAAAATGTACTATGAGGACATACTACTTCAGAATAGTGAAAATGACTTGAGTGAGTCTTGCTCACTGTTCTGTCTTGCCCTGACTGTGGTATATTCAGTAGAGTTGACTAAGTCAGTGGACCATGTGGTGTTTGCAGTCACCCTTTCAAAAGCAGATGTAACTATTTACCTTCCAGATGAAATATATATTGCTATGAAGTGCATTGATTTGATGGAACTGCAGCAGTAACAGCAGGTTGCCCTTACCTGCAACTTCAGCATACCTACAACCTTTGGTTTGCTGAGTTTGAAAGTTTCATGCTTCCTGTTTTTTGTTAGAATCACAGAATTACCAAGGTTGGAAAAGACCTACAAGATCACCCAGTCCAACCATCCACCTATCACCAATATTTCTCACTAAACCGTGTCCCTCAACACAAAATCCAAACATTCCTTAGTATGAGGAGTTTGATGATATTTTTTCTATTACCAACTTTTTGCCCCCTCCTTTGATTTGTCTACCTATTTTCAAAAGATGCCATTTTTGGAGTAGAAATCTTAGTAACTTCACTTAATCAGGCTTCAAATTGCTTCTCTGATCACCTCATAAATAATGTTTATTCTCTGTTTATCTCACTAATAATACAGTGGTGTACCTACATTTAAGCTACATGAAAAGAGTACCCCAAAAGTTTTACATCGCGTGTTAATTCAGATATGTTGGATTATTCTTTTCCTACTTCAGTCTTGCTGTCAATAGGATGATCTGTGCAGGGAGCTGGTCAAACAGGGCTTCATAGCCTTGAATTTTATCTTGTAACTAACCTAATCCCAGTACAAACTATGGTACAAAAGCAGTTGTTAAGAGAATGAATGATTTATGAGGGATGTTTCTTCATATTTCTGGCTGTTCTCTTGTTGAATGTGTAGTAAGGAGACCAAGCTCTGAAATACACTATACTAACTGTATTTGTTTACCTTTAGGAGGAACTTGCAAATAACATTTCACAGCTTATCCATGTGATTCAGAATACAGAGGCTCGTAAGTACTATTTAATTATCTGACTCTTCTCAAGGTGCTTTAATGTTTGATGACTTTGAGCCTACTTTCACAGTCCTAGGGTAGAGACAGATCTGGATCATAACTTAGTTTTTTCCTTTGCTGGCTGTCCAGCTGGTACATGTGATTGCATTTAGGAAAGTATCAAGACCCTGGGTCAGATGCAGTTTATTTCTGGTTGTTGCAGGGGAAGGGTTGTCTCTCCAGTGTGAGAAAGGTGAGATTTTTGCCAGGTGGATGGCAGAGAAAACTTAACCCCTTACCTTGCTGTTCTGTGTATTTCCTGCTCAAACCCAACCTTGTTTCATGAGCTGTTAAGCACAAAATATGCAAAATCCACTTGAAATGCAGTGCTTGATCAGTGCCTTGACTAGCATGAGTAGAAATGAATGCTCAAACTTGTGCATATATGCCTGAAAATGTATAGGTACAAAGCTCAGCCTCAGTAACGTTATTTCAATTGTCACTGTAATTGTGCTTGTCTTTAAAAGTAGCTGTGTGCCATTTCTTGCTTTGTTTAGTGGATGTGTACCTGACTCAAGCATATCTACTCACGGATCTACGTCAGTCACTGGGCAAATCCCTAGGGAAATGCAGTTCTCCCTCATCTTGAAGTGATTTCTTGAGATTTTTGGGGTTAACAGAAGAAACCTGCGTGCCAGACAAGCAGTTCCAAGTCTTCTCTTTTATTCTTTTGCAGAGCACTTGTTCATTCGAACGTTTTGGCAAACTATGAGCCGTGAGTGGAATGGAATAGACAATCTACGTCTCGATAAGTACTATATGGTAATGTTGACTATTGTAGCTCTTTCTCTTTTTTTTCTTTTTTTTTTCTTTCTTTGAATATGTGTAGAATGTGGTGGTGTGCTGGAAGGCAGCATCCAGCACATGCATCTGTGTATGTTTTAAGAGAAGACAAGTGACTATTTTCATTATTCATTGCAAAACATATTTACTTTTAAGGCTTTTGCACACTATCACGAATTTAAAAGTCATGACAGTTTATGTCGTGCTGAGAGTTATTTTTTTTTGTTTACCTTCTTTTATATCACAGTGATGTTTCTCATAGATTACACTGAGAGAACTTCTTAGAAAGAAAGCTGATTTCATGCATAAGTGCTCTCGCTGCATATTAATACTATCTCAGCAGACACTGCATCAAGATCAGTGGTTTACAGCGGGCTGTCAAAAGACATTTATGACTCCATTTAACAAACCAGTTGTCACTAGAATGCCAACTTTCCAGTGCTAAAGTATCCACCGTAGCACATTCAGCTATCAGAATTCTTTCTGTAGGAAATGCTATATTAAAACAGATAGTAAAATCACTGAAAGAACACTCTTAAAAGATCTGCCTTTGCAAGAACAAAATTAATCTTTTTGTTTCAAATGAAGTAATTGCTGGCACGTTTGTTGCTGCTG